ATTACAGGCCTCTCTCATCTTTTTAAGTGGGAGAACTTGCACAATTGGTGACTGACTAAATACTTATTTTCCCCACTGTATAAGGTTAAGTATAGTTTTGTTTGACAATACTTTAAATTAAATAAAACTAGCAACACATTACGTTCTGTTTTATTTAAAGAAGTGAGGAGTAGGGAAACGAAAAATTATGTTTTTTTGATACTGAGACTGGACGAGTAGATCTCGGCAAACTGCCGACTTCAAAAGTCTTGGTTCAAAAAAGTTGGGCACCCCTGGTGTAGCATCTACATTCTTCTTCTGCGCATGCAGGACGCTTCAGGGCTGAAGACACTGGAGTCTGAAGGCRGTTGGATTTAAATTACAACGTGGATGAGCACCCAAAAGAAACTGAATTTGAGCAAAAAAATCAGAACTGACTCTTAAGACCTGCAGTATAAACATAGCTTTAAACTAAATGTGGCAGGCTGGGGTCACTGAAGACTGCACATGCATAAGACAAACACTCAATGCATCACAGGCAGTGAGGTTTTAGGGATTTTCTCTGGTGTAGAGAAAAGAAAATCTTGAAAATTTAGCACAGATTTGTGTTGCAACTAAACTGAGCTCACAGGTAATTTTCTTTCTTCCTCCATTTCTGTTTTGTTAAACACCACAGGGTTTATWGAAATGTCTCCAAAACTATGCAACTAATGTGACTAAGTCAAGAGTCTGAAAAGAAAGTTGCATCATAATGCAAAGTGCGAACATGTGCATCCGGATCTTTCTAATTCTTGTGTTTTGGAACATTCAGGACACATGAATTAGAAAGAACAGCCTCACAACAGCAAGTGTGAACAAGGTTTAAGATCCAGAGAGGAGCAGCACAAAACATTCCACTGAAACTGAAGTGCTATAAGAAGCCCTTTCACTCTTACCTCTCTGCCAGATTTAATTAGATAGGGCAAAATTAGATAGAGAGGATCCATTGGTGTGACAAAAATGAGTCTTCCATCTGTTTAAAAGACAACACAACAAAAATCAGACACTGATATAATGTGGTAAATGTATGTAACAAGACTAAAAGGAACTGCAATATTGGTTCGTTAACCTGTCAAAGTTATCATTTTCCATTAATCAGAACTTCAAATTAATAAATCAACCCAGCAAGCACAGTCAGTTACAGACCGTCTGGTTCTGACATCAGCTTTTGTTGTATTCAGAAATATGTTTCAGGTTTCTCTGAGGGTGTATGACCTCTGAGATTTTCTAAATTGATCATATGACATCAGCAACATTTCATAGATTATGTTCTTTGGACTGCATTGAGATTAAGCACCCACCTCTCTGTACAGTCTGGCCAACAAACCAAGAGTGAAAATCTTCTTCAAATGCTTTGACCTCATACAGCTGCAAATCCCCACTCCCCAGCACGTACAGAGACGCTTCATCTGCAGCAACAAAACGGGAACCGTGTCAGTTTCATTTCTGCAAACGCTGGTCACAAATAGAAAGAAATTGTTGTGAAAGCCCATGAGACACATACAGAAACCTGGGTTTAGGTTTTGACATTGTAGTGATATGTCAACAGTCCATCTGAAACACACCTTTATATCTACACTACACATTTTCTTATTGGTGGTTCAATTGAGACAGATCGAACTAATGTGAAAAATGTGAAGACTTAACAAACGATACTCCAAAATTTGGTGGAAAGTGTTTTAAGAAGTCCAGATTGAAATCTGTAGACATTTGTGTTTGCACATGCCACTACTAACAAACATGTATTAACATTTTCACCCACTCATATTATCCCTCAGGTACTCCACATGTTTATAATGATGGGAAATGTGAACATAATCTTCAATTCTGCCCACCTTTTACAATAGCTTTTATTATAGCAAACATATCTGGAGAAAATTATCTTTGTTTGGTACTGTCTGTGCCACAAGCTTAAAAATACAATGGAACTGTATTATTAATATTAATAACAGTAATAGCAGCTACTACAGTGAAAACATTATTTGTAATAAATAGCATCAAATGCCACAAGGCTGGATAATGATAGTTTATTAACTATTAAATAAGTATTGTAACTCCTAAAAATCGTGTTTTAGTGTCRCATAGTTTAAAAGAATGAGGCCTCCCTGAAATACTGTTTTATCCCTCTTCTGATTATTATTCATCATCACAGTAAAGTTAAAAAAGCACCTTTGGTACAAAACAAGACAAGAGATTAAGAATAAACAAGTTAAACCTGTTGAGGGATTCCTCATCCTCAAAAAAGCTGGATCACTGTTGTGCTTCGTTGAGTTTATTATTGAGTCTGCAGACAGAAGAATAACATCACATTAGGGACCATCACCAAAAACAAAAGATGCAAAAACCACATGAGAGAATTTATTATAAAACTTTGAATTTATATGGTGAAACTGTGGGCACTAAATTACAGCTTTTATACATTTAGTTCTCTTCTTCTACGCATAGTCTGGTTTTACTTTTGAAGTTCTGCACCCATTGTAAGGTCTATGTACAATACCTAACATGTGACGTTGTTTCATGTTATTGATAAAGTTTATTTGAATAACAATCAGCTAGGTAGTTAGCATTCGTTAGCGTTGTCTTTTATTGTCTGACGTTAATGTTCAAATCCTTTAGCATTAAAACTAACAACTGCAACCCTAGTTGAAGCAAGACATCGGTGAGTTATTGAAGTTTAATAAATGTTATGTGTTAGTATCAGCCACACACACACTTAACCTACCTGCAGAAATTACAACCCAATTGTCATTCTGTGTGTTTGGCGTTCGTCTCTTTTTAGGGGCCATGTTGTTGAATTAAACTAAAACTGGTCAGTTTCTGCTGCCGAATCCTTCTCTCGAGCTAAATAATATTCGCAGGTTACAACTGCAGGAAGTAGCTACTTTAGCCTGACAACATGAGCTCAGAAAGGGCGCCTCTCTGCGTTTCCGATTCTTCCATTTTCTGTCAAGTACACGAAAACATTAAAAGTAAACAAAGATCCGCAAGAAATGTCCACTATCTTTCTAAAAATATGTATTTGACGTAAAATAAACGCTTGTTGTTTCGTCATGTTCTCAAAAAATGGCATATAAATATGTTGTTTTATATTTTTATTTTAACCTAATCACCCCTGCTTTTTAACATTTGGTATATTCCGGATTGACGTCAGAGCATCCTGTAGGTTATCCATGCAGCCACTAGATGACGCCCGAGAGCTTTGTTTAAATCTGCCAAAAATGATTGAGGTTTCATTTGCACCGATCTTTTATCGCCCACTTCAACTGATACATCCTTGCTGAYTTGAGTTTTTAGTCACTGCTCTGAGGTCCAGGATGTTTGGTGTTTGGTTGCCCATTGGCTCACTGGCATACAACAGATTGAGGGATCCATCTGTGCTTCAAAAAGAGGACAGCCTCGTTCACTTTCTCTCTCAGGATGTGACACTGTGTGTCCCAGTTGGTTTTCAGTGACTCATTTGTTTTTTGTTTTTGTTTTTTTTTTTTTGTAATTTCTCCCCTCCCTCCTTTCTTTTTGCATTGTGCCTATGGATGCTCAAATGATCTGTAGGAAGGTTGCATGTGTGTGTTTTCAACCTTTTTATTTGACTATAACCAGTTGTTTAGGGGCATTTTTATACATTTTATGGCTTTTAATTTTTCTCTGTGACTCTCAGTCCATTAACAGGTTTTTATTAGGCTCGTTTTAGTAATGAGAAAATGAGATGTTTGTGATCTGTTACTCTACAGGGATTATGAGAGGAAAATTAGGGTCTGCACATGATTCTACAACCTGCTTATTTTCAGTCTCTGATTTTGTGTTTTTTTACCACATTTTTTTCCATACAAAAATGAGTTTTCTTTCCAAGTCTATTTGCCAAAATTTAAGCAACACATGTTCTAAACTCTTTGAACGCTGCATCAGCTCCTCCTTGAAATCAGTGTGATTTATGTTGCTGTGACAAAAAAAAAAAAAAAAGAGCATGGGTGAGATATTGTCTGTGAATTACTTGTTTTATGGCTCTCGAGGGAATCATACACGACAGCCTGTGCAGCTAAATAGAATATTCCATGAAAGCCTTTCTTTCATTTTGGGCTGCTTGAGGGAACGTCTGTGTTTCTGGCGGGCCCGGGAGAACAACAGCGGCCTTTTTAAAAACACTGGACCACAGAAAAGCCCCAAAGAGTTGAGTTGCTCTGTCATCAGCATGCGAGAACAAAGTGGATCTAAATTTAAGTCTATGGTTTGGACCCCCAGTCTGAAGCCTCTGGATTGTCTCTCAAACTTTATTCCATCAATCTTGCATCAAAAAAAAAATCTTTAAAGAAAAATGTCATTCTCTCTACCCAAATGTCCTTCCTCCCTCTATACGTTTATTTATTTATATATAAAAAGTAGCATTCTATATTGCCTGCTGAAATGTTGTAATGACTCGGCTAATTTCACAGCAATTTTTTATTTTTTTCTGTAAAATGATTGAATGAACCTTTAGCTATCTTTTTGGCCACCGAGGTCAATCAGCTGTGGCAGCCATCTTGAATCAGGTTGATTCAAAAGTTGAGTTACAGACATAAAGTGATTATTTTCTGAGGGTTTAATCAAAATCATCATGAGATATTTTGCTACTACAGAAACAAATAGACTATTTCATCATCAACAGCCATTCGTGGTTATTTTTATTTATTATAAATTGATACTATATGGACTTTTTGTTGTTTTTATGAATTAATGAAATGTGTTATATATTTTATGTATTGGCAGAACTATGTTTAGATGTTGCAACTTAGACTTAATTTTGTGTTGCACAAACCACATTTTCATGATGATTAGACAAACACACCTGCTGTTTTTTTAGAGGAAAAGTGTCAAGATCAGTGGGGTTTTTTTCTGTTTTGAATTTTATTTTCATGTTTATTTTATGGTGTTTAGTGTCCATGTATATTTTCTTTGTTGCCTCCCTGTGTTTCCAGCCATTATTGGTATGTTTCAACAGTTAAACTTCGCTCCTCAGTCCTGCCATGCCCACCTACACCTGGTCTTCATTTCATTCATCCTCAGCTGCAGACGCCTCCCCTCCTTAAGGTTTGTTTATTCATCATGCAAGACGTGCGGCTGTGGCCCAGCGATGACGTAATTGCGTTTGTGTCACTGACTGCACTGAGTGTTTATACTTGGAGAAGATGTCGGGGATACATTATAGTAATCCCTCCCTCTGCCCTCCCTCCGCATACGTCAAGCAAGACAAGCGTGATTTTATATTTAAGCTTCTGTAATAAATCTCTTCATTTTCTCTAAAAATTAGGCTAGCGAGGGTGTTTTRTTACCTCGATTTGTGAGTCCGTTGTGTTGGATGTTGTCATGTTTGTTGTTGTCCCCCGGTGTTTAATGTACGTGTCCAGCAAAAAAAAAGGGGGCAAAAAAAGAAAAAACGGAGGAACTGGATTGGTCCCGCCAGGATCCCCGCTCCGAACCTGCATTCTCCGTTTGGTGTTTGTAAACCGGTCACGGAGAGTCCGCCACCGTTTGCGGCAGACAGCCTCCTCTGTTTGCAACGTTTCTGCAATCTCCCTCCATGAATTTTTTTTGCCATTTGGCATTACTTGTACTCCGCAGTAGAGAAGTCATATAGATGTTTGTACCTACGGACCACCTCTGCGAGTTTCTCTTCGAAACTATCCGTGTTTACAAACAAAAACCGGCCTCTGGAAGCGAGTACTGGGTAGCGGAGTGATACAACAAACAAAAACACCCACAAACTTTGAACCAATCACACGGGCCGAGCTGCAACCTCCATGTCTCGGAGCGCTGACTGGGGGCAATGTATCGGACAGCTGTCACCGGGGGATCGCAGCGGGAGTGCAGACGGAAGTTGCGTAACTTTTTTTCACTCAGCGGGGGGTAAAAGACGTGCGACAAGAAGTATAAACCAGCCTTTAGTCCTGGATTATAAGAAATATGCTGATGCATCATGGGTTTCTCTGTATCACTTCTGCATGTCATTAGCTCATTTGTTTGATCAGAGCACATCTTGATTTCTCATAAACAGTTATCCACAACAGGTAAGATATTACTTGTTCATAACCTTTCCACATAAGCCCACTTTAGTAAGATCTGAACTATTCCTTTCAGAGAGAAAAGGGACATTTTTATCCGAGGCTGCTGCCAGGAGAATCTAACTATAACTAGAAATACAACTGATGCTTGGGGCTTTCATGTCGTGCATAAAACCACATAATCATTTTTGAACTTAAAAAATGCAAAAACTCAATTTTTTTGAATAAGGATACTTTGACGTCCTCGCAGCCCATAATCAGAGCAAAACAGATGTGTGGAGAGTTTCCCACTGCAGCAGAAAAGCATTTGAGTCATCATCTGGGATTCCCTTCCTCTCGCTTCCAAATATGGGTGGGATTGTGGGAGAGCGGGAAGAATGTAGAAGGTAGAGGATCCCCCTCCTTCTCCTCCTCCTCCTCTCTTCTCCTCCAAGTGATGTCAGAGAAACAGGCTCGCGCTGACTGGAAATTCACAGGAAGGAATGTGGAGAATGTCACTGAAATGCTGTTCATTCAGTCATGTTTGTAAGATGCCTGTAGTCAACACACTTAATCACACAAACACACTCATGCAGTGTTTCACCAGTCTTCTCACTGGAGAGATGTTTCTTCCCGTAATTCCTCAGATGAAGTTTTTTTTCCCTCCTACCACTGACAGCATGGTGAGTCCTGATTCCCAGCATCCACTGCTCTGCCCTACCCTGGGATAAATGTGGTTTTTTCCCTCGCCATGTGTGGGAATGGTGTAATGGCTTGACCATTAAGTGTTTCGTGTAAAGTGGAGGCCTTTGTGTTTTGAAACAGATGAGTAACAACAAGCAGTCTTCACTCAAATGAATGAGTAAATTTTTCATGGTGATATATCTTAATGAAAAGATAAAAGTCAAGTCTTAACTAGAGGAGCATGTTGAAACTCATTAGGTTCACTGGCAACAGGTCCAGGGGACTGAGAACATTTTAGAAAAGCTGAATATCTGAAGTAAAAATGGGCAGAGGTTCATCAGTCTGAAAAAATCAGATTAAATTAAAAAATTGTTAAATTAGTCCCACTTGTGCTGAACAATCTCTGATGACGTCCAGCCATCTATTATCTTTACCTGCTTCTTCTTTTCCAGGTCACTGCATGGGTCACTGGTGCCGATATCCATTATTTGATTGTTAATGCATTAAAAGACTCTCAGAGTTGCAAACAGAGACCAAATTAAACTGGTTTTCTGACTTTAATCAAAGACATCAGCTCTAACTTCCAAGGTGAATGTGAAACAGTAACCTGCTGGCCGTGGTCGACATCAAAGCCATACCCTGTTTAAAAAAAAAATATCTTTTCAAATTTTGGCATCTAAAATATTTTGCTCAGGAGTTAAGTATTCCTCTTGTTTTACAGTAAGTTGTGTGAATATGTGTGTCCAATCCTGATCCTCGAGGACCACTATCCTGAATGTTTAAGATGCTTCTCTTGTCCAACCTGATTTGAATGATTGGGTGATTAACAGGCTTCTGCGGAACATGCAGAGGTAATTCAATCATTGAATACTGTGTTGCAACAGGTAAACAAATAAAACAGGCAAGATACCGAGAGCCCTTAAGGACCGAGATTGGACTCCATGAGGGCCTTTACTTCTGTCAGTGTGCCCCAGGGYAGCTGTGACTACAATGTAGCTGACCAACATCAGTGTGTGAAAGTGTGTGTGTTACTGCAAGTGTAAAGTGCTTTGGGGTCCGACTGAGCTTGATAAAGCACTACCGTATATAAGTTCAGACCATTTACTATTTTACTGTAAAAAAAAAAAAAGGCTGAGGATATTACAATGAGTTTCAAAATTATCTACTTGGGAATTGTTTGTGTTTTGCTGTCTTGCAGTCTGACATTTAATTAGATTTTTAGATGGATAACAATTAAATTCTAAAAAAACATTTTAG